TGATGGGAAGGGGCCTGGTCAAGAGACTATGGGAACTGGACAAGATATTTTTAATGGAGATTTTTATGTTTCTGAGCTAGAAGAAGCTGTTGATTTCCTAAAGATGGGAAAAAGTCCAGGCCCACATAATCCAGAGTTTATTAAACATCTAGAATATAATGCTCAAATAACCCTTCTCTCTATTTTTAATCATAGTTGGAAACTCTTATGTAACCACTATGGGAGAAAAAAGCCATTATTATACCTATTTTGAAAAAAGATAAATCGACAGATAATATTAAAAGCTATCAACCTATTTCATTTACTGTTTTGTTGAAGATTATGGGAAAGATGATAGTCTCTAGACTAACTTGGTTTTTGAAGAGTAACAATCTTTCGCCTCCTAAAGAACCTGGATTTAGACAATATCATTCCACTGTCCAACAGTTTTCTTATGTTAGTCAAGCCATTAAGAAGTCTTTAGTCTGTTTTGTCTGTCTGGCAACATTTATAGACTTTGAATCAACTTATGATAAAGTGTGGAGACTCCATATTATTAAAAAATTACAGAACTTGGGAATAAATGGCAGGATGTTTTTATGAATTAAGAATTTCTTATCACAGTGTTTTTCTGTTGTTAGATATGGCTGTGACATTTCTAGATTTAAACGGAATCAAACTGGCCTCCCGCAGGGAACAGTCATCAACCCATTATTTTTAATGTTTTTTGATTTACTGAACATTTTGGCACAGTGGATGGATTCTGTTCTTTTTACTGAAGATTTGGTTATCTGGATAATAAAAGCTTAGTAGTAATAAAAGGAGTAATGCTTCTACTCCAAATAAAGAAGCAGGATCCTTTAAATGAAACTTTTAATAGTGCTCTGACAAAGCTGGAATGTTGGTGTCTGAAAAATGGCATGAGAGTAAATCAGGATAAGAGTACTTGCCAGTTCTTAACTCTGAACAGACAGCTTTTACCCCAAATTTGGCATATAAGGGTGTAGATGTTCAACATAATGATTCTACTAAATATTTGGGTTGCATTCTCTATCTATGCTTAAATTGGAGGAAACATGCAGAATATTAATAAAGCTGTGAGAAGACTTTCTGCCTTAAAACGTCTGGCTAGTTCAAGATGGGGCTGTGACAATGAGACACTAATATTATTATTATACACCAGAGAACAGGGGCTCCGTTGCCTTGCAGTCTAGCAGACTGCCTTACACAAATTAAAGCCTCTGCCTCCGAAAGCTATCTACTACCCGCTCCACCATAACCGGGGTGGGGTGGCAGGTCAGACGGTAATTACTGAGTCTTAAAACAAAGAGATACATGGGCAAACAAGGCCAGTGGGCAACAGAGGTTTCAATACATAGTCTGGATTTACAATTTTTTCTTCTAATACATATGTCATACATTTATCACAGCTACACTGATGGCTACTTACAAATTATATTTTCAACCAATTATTGGTTATTGCAGTGAGATCTTCATTGTGGCTCTGGAAAATGTGGCTCAGGTCCTCGAAGTGTTCCAGAACTTAGCATTGCACATAATTACTGGGGCAGTGAGATCTACTTCTATTCTTGCAAAAGAAGGGGAGCAGTTCTATATCTTCCGTTCTATTTTGCTGATTGATGAAATTCAACTTGCGTTTTGCTTGTCTTAAAAGCATGGCTTAAGATATATATTAATTATATATATAGCATTGTTCTAACATAGGTATTTTGACACAAAATCAGACTTTTTCTGAAATGACATGCCCTTTTTTTTTCTCCCCATATGTCAATTCTATGGTTCAAATTATGCAAAAGTTACCAAGCTTTATAAAAATCACCGGAATAGTTTTTTAAAAATTAGCTCTCAAAATTTTAGCTCCTCAGTGTTTATTGAATTTGGCATATATATTTATTAATCTCTCTCTTTTTTATTTTTTATTTAGACACATAGTAGTGTGTCAGCAAAGTTTAGAACAGACAGAAAAGGAAACAGTGAGACACCTGCCCTGTGTATCTTGCACAAACCATTTTGAGCTACTTTCGACTCCCCCATTATCCAAAAACTATTAGACCTAGAAACATGCAATTTTGTTTGTCTAATAGAGCTTCCATGAACAGCTAGAATCCCAAATTTCATTAATCTACCTCTTATAGTTGTGGAATTATTAAGGTCTGAAAAGTGTCATTTTTATCACTTGGCAACTGACTGATCAAAAATCTAGACCATTTCTAAATGACTTAGATACTTAAAATTTGGCATCAACCTAGATCATTAGGCAAAGGAAAAAATCTAAACTTAAAAAACTACACTATTATTGAGGTTAAACCAAATAATACTCATTACAAGCATTTGAAACCAATAGATCATGTTGCACCAATTGCCGGTTTCCATGCCACTCAAATGTTAGTATACTTTTCCAAAAGTGAAGGAAAAAAACCTGTTTATAACAGATGAAATGATAGCACCGATGTAGAGTGCAGGATCGATTCTTTTTCATTTTGGTAGTGGGTGCGGGCTTAACTACAGCGATATCATGAAAAGAATGTGTTGTTACATATGGCTTTATTGGAAAGATCAATACAAACATATAATACAGCTCAAGTATCACACAAGAACAATGATAAATAATAAAAAAGAACAAATATTTATAAAGTAGGAATCAGAATAAATGAAAAGGGGAGTAAAAGTAAAAAAAGGTAAAAATTTAAACAACAAGGAAAGTAATATAAGAGATGTAGTCTTTACAAAAAGTTCATGAAAACTCTGGCATTCCAATATAGTTTACTTATCTCACCATGTTTCTGAAACTCTTTATCTAGTTCTGGACATATAAGTAGATGCTCTGCATTCATGATGTCTGAATTGAAAATTTGGCATGTACTAGATGGAAGGATGCCAATTTTATGAAGATGATGTGCCATGCAATCATGTTTGCAGTTTGAAATTTGCCACAGCCTCTTTATGGGGTTTTTGACAAACTTTTTCCATGTGTCTTGAATGTTAGCCCATGATTTGCCTGTTGATTTTGCTGCCTGGTCAGATTTAAAAGTATCCTTTAATTTCTCAAAAATATGCTTTTAAAGTGACTCTGGAGGAAGTGGTTTGTTGTCCTGTGGCGCAAGTGTTTCTCTCTTGGCTAGTGAGTCTGCCTTTTCGTTACCACCTGTAACTATATGTGAAAGGATCCATTGAAAAACGATTGTTTTGTTATGTTTATAAAGAAAGTTCAAGATTTGTCTTATTTCTGAGATAATCTTGGTATCTGTGTCATGATTCATAACAGCCTGGTTGGCTGCTTTGGAGTGCACTAAAATAACTGCTTTAGAGAAACAATCGATCTTTATCTTGAAGTTTTCTAGAGCCAGTGAGATTGCAAGGATATCTGCATTAAAATTCAACTTGAAGCTTCCCACAGGAGTACATTGGGGAAAAAGTTTACTGTATACACCAGCCCCAGTGTTTTCTTGTATTTTAGAGCCATCAGTGTATATTCTTGTCCATTCAGGTTCAGGGTATTGTTCATATAACATATATAATGAGTTTGATTTTAATATTGCATCAGGAATGTTTTTCTCTTCCAAGTCTTAGATATCTAATTGGTATTTGATCTAGGTACATTCAAGGGGATTAACCATGACCTTGTTATAATTCATTGGTTTGTTTTTATCTATTCTTCATAATAATTTCTCACAAGCCTCTAGGGAAGACATTTGGGTCTTCATAGTACTTGGTTTGTGTTCGTTCATCCAATGCGCTGTATGCGATGCTTTCATTTTAATGAATGTATCAACTACTTGTTTCTTGATTTCAGTAGCAGTTGAGGTGTTGGAAGTGTAGCTTTCCATAGCTGTAGTTGGGGTAGTTTTCACTGCTCCTGTGATAACGCCAAGATCTGTGCTTTGGGCTGTTTTCAAAGTGTGTCCTTCCCTTGTGTGGTAGAGATCTTTGGGATAAAAACGTTTTGTACCAGTTATACATTTTTCTGTCAATTCCATAAACATGAAGTTTGTTTAGAAGTTTCCTTCTCCATATTGTCGTAGGCTCCCTGGAAATCAACAAAGACAACCAAAGAGCTTCTCCCAGAATTGAAACCAGTTTTAACTTTGTGAACCAACTTCAGAATTGAATTAATAGTTGACGTGTCTTTTTTTGACAGTAGTCTTCCACAATCCCGTTTGACTTCAGGTAAAAACCTTAGTCTTGCGGTTATCATTCTTTCAAACATCTTGACTACAATGAAAGTCGGTGAGATTGATTGGTACGATTCTATATCTTCAGTTGGTTTTCCTGGCTTTAGAATCAGAATGATCTTTGCCTTCAAGCAGTTTGCTAACAGATTGAGTTTTGCATTCCAGAACTTATTGTAAATCATTAAAGGGAAATTTATTGCAAATTGCCCCAAATGTGTCATGAATTCTAAGAATATATTATCTGGTCCTTGTTTTATACTGTTTTGAATGTCTTTGATAGCCTTATTCAATTCCTCCATTGAGAAATCCTCCATAAATGTTTGTCTAAGTTCACTAGCATTGATTTAGTACTTCTTTCGTGTTTTTGGCATTTCTTTTACTGCCTCTTTTGCTCTTTATTGAGTGAGTACCATTCAAGATAGAAGTTATTGAATATTTTAGCAATCTGTGTTTGATTGCTGACATCTTTGTTTCCTTTTTTGTTGGAGTGATTAGCTCTTCGTGTTATTGTTATTCAGCGTATTCATTATTTTGTGAGCCTTATTTCCATCAGTTCTGTGATCTAATTCATTAAGAAGCCTATTCCAGGACTGCCTTTTGGCTTTTAAAACTCTCCTTTTCATTACAGTGCATTCCTTTCGCCATTTGACTACATCTTGTTTGCATTTTTTATTAGTTTCACACTTTCAGCTTCCTTTCTTGTTTGCTTTCTAATTTCTGTTGGCTTTTCTAGATCAGGATTCCAAAATGGTGGGTAGTTAGGCTTCTTGCCTCTCAGGATGTTCTTTTGCTGCACTTCTGGATGGCTGATGTAAAAACTGATTCTGCTTATTGAGGTGAAGCATCATTCAGAAGAGTGTTTATTTGATGTTTCATACCTTCTGTAAAGGCCTTCCAATTGGCCTTATTGAAGTTCCACATAATTCTTGAGTTATTTCTTATCTGTTTTTGGTTGGTAGTAATTGTTGTTTTTACCATTTGGTGACTACTTCCTCGGTCCCCAATTACAGTTTTCTTGTAATAGTCAATTAAGTTTGCTGAAACTGTGGTTAAATAAGGGTTAGTAGAACTGCCTGAATAGTGGATGAAGGTATTAGGATCATCTTTATCATACATGACTAACGTTGCATTACTATCTACAAAGTCCTCAACAATTTGCCCTACTTGGTTTTGGTAGGTGTATCCCCAGTTAGGGGAAGCAGCATTAAAATAACCTACAATTATAGTATTTTGATGAAGTTATAAAGTGTCTAAATTTAAGTTTTTTTGTGTGGTGAACTATATATTCCACAAATTTAAAAAGATTTATTCTCATTCCAAACATTTACTCCCAAAATTTCCACAGTGTTATACTTGTTCATTGTTTTTAACACCTCAGATGATGATGTCAATTTATTTCGCACTGCCACTAAAATACCACTTGCAATCTGTCTGCTTTTGAGAAGTCCATGAATAGTGAAATTTTTCGTATTATAATACTTTATTTTGTCTTCTGTAATATTTACTTCTTGAATCACCTGAACATCAATGTTCTCCTCAACAACTAACCTCTTAATTACTGAAAACTTAGCACAAGATAATTCTCCAGCATTCTACTGAAGGATAGAAAAGCAAAAGTTCTTTGCTCTGCTTGCTTTTCTCTGAGCCGCCTTAGCCATAGCTGTTACTTATTTAGTGCCACCCTAGAGGCACGTGTGAATTAAGGATATCACTGATGTGAGTAACATAGCCCCCCCCCCAAAAACGAACGTAAACAGCTTTCAAATGATAAAAGTATTGCTGTTCAGTAACTTAAATTTAAGTAATGAAACAGATGCCAGATGCAAATAAAACAATAAAAAATAAAAAAAGGAAACATGAATCTATTACCTTAAAATAAGATTTGAACATTTATATTGTTTACTAAAAAATAGCTGTTTAAACTTATTGTTTACATATTTTACATCCCTTTAAAAATCTAAAACTTCAAAAAACTATATCATTATCGAGGTTAAACCAGATAATACTCATAGGAAATTTCGGCAATTTAATAATTGTTATTCGCAGTCATCAACAGATGGCATTGTACCAAGTTAAATCACTCAAGCTTTGTGTTTTGGCAGACCTATAAATAGACTGGGGAATGCACGAGCATCTTTGGTTGGTTAATTGGTTTTCGCTTGAAGGCTGATCTTTCTGTGCCAAGTGATTATAAGTCAACAATAAAGAGATGTACAGTAGGATTGTTGGTCGACGACTCAGTCATTTTACACAAAATAATTCCATTGACACATAATTAAGTTGTTTATTCTGTTCAATTGCATTCCTGTTGTGTCATTCTACTAATTTACAAGTGAGTAAAGTGTGTACAACAATAGTAGAATATGTCTGTTATAATTGGAATGATTTAAGCTCATGGACCTGTAACCAGAATGGTGATCCTTTCGATTCTGTGGAAGAGTATTGCGTGAGTGTGCTTCGTTCGACAACTTACAGAGCTGTTTCAGAGTTAAAAGCTGCAGGGAATTTGTATCCAATATGCATTGAAGTGTATTAAGATGGCGATCTGTTTTTTTTTTTTTTTTTTTTTTTTTTTTTTTTGTTTGTTTGTTTGGTGTAGAAGGCCGTCCCATAAAACGGTTACTGTTTTTGGGCAACTTGTCGCCAGGGCATTATGATGTTTGTTTACCAGTAGATCAGTGCAATGTAGATAGTCCAAACATTCCTGATGTTAATGCTATGGGATGCAAACATATTACAAAAAGAGCATCCGCCAAAGTGGAAACAAGGTCGACCCAAAACATCAGATAAAACCCGTGATGAGCAAGTATGTGAAGCAAATCTCTGGTATAGGAAAAAAAAAAAAAAAACCTAAAGTGAATTGAAGAACAGTCGGTTATAATACTCATACAGAAGCTTTCACCCTTTTAAAAGATAAAATTAAAGATGGACTTAATTATGGAGAAATACAAACAAAATTCTTAAATAATATACAGAGAGCTTTCAAAATGATTGAAGAGAAAGTAGCAGAGATTGAACTAGAATTGTACAATGATAATGGAGATAACAGGTTTGTTGGTCGACATAGAGATACCTGTTGAAGCAAAGACTGCAGTGGAAGATTTTCAGAATGCAAAAGAGTTGGTCTCAGAAGATGAGCTCGAAAAAATTATAAAGACCTCTATGTCAACCAAAAATGTATTTTCGATAAAATTAGTAAAACTTTAACATAAAATAAATCAGTATTAAGATTATTTGTATGTAAAACAGGATGCACTGGTAAAAGTTATTTAATAAACACTAGTAAATATATGAATAAGTTGGTTCAGTGGCTACTGCCACAGATAATGCTCCTTTGAACGTGAACTGTTTGACATTACACAGACCGTTACAGTTACCAGTAGAGAATGGAAACTATTCCAAGTATACTTCTTTATTGGACCAAGTTTTGAGAAGTGATTTAAATAATGTAATTCTTTAATTATTGATGAGGTATTCATGATCTCAAATGTATGTACATTCATCTTTGATTAACGGAAATTTATGACACTGAAGATCTAGATCAGTGTTTCTTAACCTTTCTAGCGAGTCGCACCTCATTGAATCTAAAAATATATCTCCCGCACCCCATTGAAAAAATGTGTTTTAATTTTTTTAGTCTAGAAAAATACATTTTTTGCGAAACTTATTGTTTATTGAAAAACGTACATTTTATATAATTACGAAACAATATTATTTTTATTAATGACTAGTCTGTTGTTGTTTGTTCATTATTATACTGGTGAAGCGAGGTTCCTTTTTTGAAAGACATACGCGTAAGTCATCACTTATATTTAAGCGATTTCTCTCTTTAGATTTTATATGCAAAAGCGATGAAAATCCCATTTCGCACAAGTAGGTGGTTGCAAAGGGTAAGAGTATCTGCAGTGCTTTGTTCGCCAACTCTGGATAACATTGTCATTGTGAACACCAGAATTGTTGCAATTCTAATTGCTCGAATTCCATTTGAACATGTCCACTTGCTTGCATTTCAATAAGTTGGATTTTTTTTTCAGATCACTATCATCCATCAAATTTAAGCCAAATAGAAATGGATCTGGTATCCATCTCTGAGTTTTAGTAATATTTCCGGTAGAAAAGTATCCATTGAATGATTCGCTCAATCATCTCAAATGTGTTACAATGTCGGGTATAATTGTATTCTTTTCATTTTTCGCAATAACAGAATCAAGTAAGGGAAAGTTTGCAAAATTCCCCTTTTCTACTCAACGTATCCAAATTTATAATTTTGTGATAAATGAAGATAATTTTTCACTAGATATTGTTATATTTATACCAAATCCTTGCATTGATAGATTCAATTCATTTAAATGGCTAAATATGTCTGCTAAGTAGGCCAGCCTCAGCATTGCATCATAACTCTCAAAATCTTTTACTAAATAACAGTTTTGACTGGTCAGTAATTGAATAATTTCCTCACGCAGTTCAAAAACTCTGTTAAGCATGCGACCCTTAGATAACCATCGTATTTCGGTGTGATATAGGAGCACGGTATGTTCAGCACCGATTTCTTCGCAAAATGCACGAAAAATGTGATGATTAAGTGCTTGCCCTCGGATGTATTCTACTACATTTACTGCTGTAGTTAGATGTTGTTTTATACTTTCTGGCAATGCTTTTGACGCAAGTGCATGACGATGCAACATGCAATGCGTTATTATAACTTCTGGTAATTCTCTTTTCATGTGTGAAAAATATCCTGAATTTTTGCCTAACATTGCTGGGGCTCCATCAGTGCATATTGAGCCAATCACATTCATTGGTAATTGATATTTAGTAAAAAAATCTTTGATGCGATTGGAAATATCAATTCCTCTCGTATTCATCTCCAGTGGCTCACAAATAGAAATTCTTCTATCACCTTGCATTAAAATATCTTCACTGAGATCTTGTATTCGTGATCGTATGATATCATTCAATAATGGAATCTGTTGGATTTTTTTATGTGCTTCCGAATCTAAAATTGTTTTAGCAATAATTAAAGCAGAAGGTTTAATCAACTCTTCAGCGATCGTGTGAGGTTTCTTTTCTTTTTTTTTTTGCACATAAATAGGCCACTTGATATGACGCTTCTAATAAAGGTTTTTGAATTGCTGGTCTGCACAATTTTAGGATAGTTCCACTGGTATCAAATCAAACCGAGCCTTCTTTGACTTCAAGTTGTTCATGCTATTCGCTTTTTCGCCACCATGCACATTGTAGAAATGCTCTAATATGTAACTTTGATGGTTTGAGATTGCTGTTTGAAAATATCTTGGAACACAAGATGCATTGCGGTCGTTGCATGCCATCTTTTTCGGTTGTGCAGGTAAATCCATAACCGGCATACTTATTGTTCTATTGTAGTTTTTTTTTTTTTTTTTTTTTTTTTTTTTTTTTTCTTTTGACATAGTGGGGTTCACTATAATCGATTTAATTATTTAGAAATAATGTAATATAATATATATAATGTTCTTACGTTTGCAATATCACTGAATTCTATTCGGCTTGAACGGGCAATTAAGAATGTATTAGTCTCAAGAGGTTTCTGGACAAGTCAGAATACACAATACACATGTCGCAGACACAATAGTTGACTCAACCTAACACAGGCGCAGTAGATGTAGATACAAATCTGTGAATCCATAGATTTCATTGGAGTAGCACATGTTGAACTCAGTGCATGCGCAAGCTGGGATAACGTTCTCCGCTTGTATCATGGCTTCGTGGCTATCGAGGTTTCTCGAAGGTCACACTTGAATTCCCACAAAGTTTTTTTTTTCTTTTCTCCGTCACCTAGCTGCCTGTTTGCGTTCGTTTGTAGCGTTTCATGCCTTTTCGTCGCGTAGTGTATACGCCCATCGGCACCGTGTCTTTTGCCGATAATGCTACCAATTTTTTATGAGCTTCAGTATTGGGGACACTATTGCAGATTTCAAATATTTTATTAATAAATGATATTTAATAATTTTTATGGTTAGGTAGGGGCTTCTCCCGCACCCCCGGTTAAGAACCACTGATCTAGATGATGGCTGGTTGATAGAATTAATATTGTGTTGTTTGGTGATCTATCGGGTTTGAGAGCATAAAATCGTTAGATGTATTAAAATGTTTGGGATCGCTTAGTGCACCTAACTTATGGAAGGAACTTTTTTTTTTTTGTATCATGAATCAACAGTTAACACAAGGCAGAAAA